AAAGTTGAAGAAAGAAATCATTTTTTTTTTTCCTAGTTAGCGTTGCACAAAGTGTTAAGTGTTGGCAGAGTAAGCGACTGCAGTTTTTGCAAATTAAGGTTTATATTTATAAGCCACCAGTTATGACATTTATTCACTTAGGAGTGAGCTAAACTAGTAGAAGGAGTTTTCAACAAGTTTGTTTGTTTTTTACATTGTTTATCGCCTTGAAAATTTTTGTGAGCTTCGTACGCCGTGAAATTCATCTTTACTATCGGATTATGATGTCATCATAGTTTGGTGAAGAACATTTGTCTATTTTTTCTTCGCTTTTACAGTCTTTTACTCTTTTATGGAAGGCAAACCCTCTACTAATTACTTGCAATGTACCGAAGAAATCGATCATCGGAAATCACCTGAATTATGGCCGGAACAAATCCCTGGTGCTTGGGACGTAAGTAAAGCTAGCATGGTTAGTTGTTTACTTTGTAATTCAATAGTGAAGTAATATTTTAATGGTTTTTATTTGTAGTGTGCTAAAGCCAATAATTATTGTTTGTTGTGAAACTCTATTGGCTATTTGTAGGGCTTCGTTCAAACCATTTTGTTAGGTAATTGAATGGCTGAATTTTGGATTTGTGTTTCAAAGAATTTTTTTTCGTTTTTATGCTAATTTTTTAACATTTAAATTGAGTAATTCAGAGTTGCAGAATCAACACCAGATGCTTGTTTTTCTTAAGTCTTCTCAAAATTATATCAAAATGTTATTATATCGGGATTTCATGCAGTGTTTTTTTAATGGAATTATCAGTGCAAAAAGTTCAGTTTATAAGGGTGTGATTAAGGGATTATTTGATTTTAATCTCCCCCAGAATTTTGATTGCTTTATGCCTAAAATTTGAATGTTATTTTTTTTTTTTGTCAATTAAGACAAATGTACCTTGGATTTATTGCTTGAATAATCATTTCGCTTTTAAGTCATATACAGGCGACAATAAACCGGTAACCAGATTTCGAACTGAGCTTGATCCCCAAGACGTTCGGCTTGTCAACGGTAGCGACATTTTAATTATCCGAGGATCACAACTGTTTTGGTGTTGCTTTATTCACTAACTCTTATAGTTACACCTTAGTTTTACAAGTCTTCCCATTTTTATTTGAAAATGCTTCTCTTTCACTCTCCTTCTTAGTTCATCTTTGTGTGGAAGAGTGAAACTATCAGTTTTAAAAGAAGCGACGTTTGGCTTTTAATTTAAAACTTATGAATGCAATTCTTTAAGAGCTTGGGCAGTTGAATGCGGATCAGTTAATGGAGTACGTTAAAAATTTACAAAACAATGCATTTACACTTGGCCTTGAGGAAGGTATGGGATTGAAATTTTTTATTTTTTTTTCCGATTTTCTTCTTTATAATGGCCTTTGAAATGCGGTATGCGATTACTGCTGAGAATTTTTTTGACGCGTTCCGTAAGGGGTTTAGGCTATACTTCTGGCGAACTCTTTTACAGTACATATTTCACAATTTCTTATTTTGTTGCTCTAACCGGTCTTTTAGGTGTTTGTGAATATTCTTTTTGATTTTTTCAGCGAAACAGTTTTATCGAGGAAAGTTCCTTCAGATTTTTGAAAAACGCAGTGACGAATCGTAACATTACGAGACGTGTCTGCACGCTTGCTGATAAGAGCCTCTATTGAATACGGTACAACAAAGCATCTTTCACTTAAACGAACAGAAATTTTACTATTTCAGTTGCTGCAGAGTAGAAGTGATCATCTTTCTTTTGTATCCTTATATATATAATATATTGGAATATTAGTTTGTCAATAATGATTATCTTTTTCTCTTTAATTACATGTAATGAGGAGAAAGAAAAGCGACTAGTTTTACGCAAACACAGTTGATGTATTGAAATTTTTTCTCGTTAAGGAGGTGGAAATTGTATTTTGTACACTAAAAACTCTTATCAGCGAGTATGTAGCTAGTTTGGTTTTTGTTCTGTCGATTTGGTTCAGTTTTTGTTCTTCGTTGTGACATCAATCATACAGTGTTCACTTCACTGCCTATCATTTGCCTTGTCTTTCAGTTTCATATGCTGCCTGTGTTTGAATGTTCAGCACGTATTTTTTGTCTTTTATTCTTGCTTCTGTTCTTCATTTTGCAGAAGTGGATTTAAACTGGATTTTTTGTACATAATTTTAAATAAAACTGTGAGCCGTTGCTTTTGAAAAAAGGTCTTAAATCGGTATTTTTGCTAATAAGATATAAGCAATAATAAGATTAACAATAATTTTAATGATTGATTAAGGTCTATAATGATTGCTAATTTATCATTGACGTGACAGGTTGTGCAACTTACTATTATCACTACAGTTTTTTCTGTAAGATTTGGTTTGTGCGAACAAACTGCCCTTTTTTCTACTTCAATGATAGTGTGAGATTTTGTTTTCAAGTAAGAGTGTATGAAAAAAAACTTAAATTTAGAACCTTTAACTACTGCTGAAGGTTCTAAATTTAAATTTTTTTCGGATTTGAAGATCTGTTGCTGTAAATTAAAAGTTTTTTTTGGTGTTTTGACCGTACAGTTCATTTGCATTGCGAGTGCTTTGAAGGTGTGGCCAGTGTTTGAGGTGGTGATATGTGTAGTTTGACTGGCCAATTGAGAAGGTTTTGATTACCACACTTTATGTTGTAGGTGTGCGGTATATTACTTTCGAGGTTCATTTAGTCGGGGATGTAATCTGTGATTCAATTTTGTTTATGGGAGAAGTTATGTCTTTTTATGATGACAATGATAGCTGTTGGTAGAGATCCCGAGAATCCGTTTCAGTGACTGCTTTGCATTTGATAAGGTTTACTCAATTCATTTTTTTTACACTTTTGCCAAAATACGTTTTAGCAGCTGATTTGAAAGGTTTATAAGTTTCAAAATGTTCTGTTGTCCAAATCCACTTTTTTGACTTACTATTTGTCAGTTTTGCAGCATTTAGAACAAAAAGAAGTTATAGTCTTTAGCATATGCATTTTTACTGGTTCACTAGAATTCTTGTACTAAAGTAAGGGCCTCGGAGTTCTTACTGCCAAGATTTACAGGATGATTTTAGCTTTTAATATAATGCATTCATTTAGACCAATTCTTTGTTTTTTTTTT